CGGTTGTGCCGCGTGGCGTCGCGCGGCACGTATGGTGTCAGCGCGGTGACCCGCAGGTTCAGCGGCGAGCCATCTGGCATGGTGCCGACCGATGCGAAGTACATGCTCTCGTCAGAGGAGACGTCCGGGCCCTGACCGCCGAGGTTGTTGTTCCGTAGCGTCGCTCGGCTGAAGTCGAGGAGGTGCGACACCTCCGTCGACGCGCACAGAACCTCGGCACAAGGGTCAGAGCACTCCGTGCAGCCCGAGCAGCCGGTCCAGGTGCAGAGGTCGCTCCAGGGCTGGGACCTAGTCGCGCAGAAGCCCTTGCAGGCTGACGCTGGCGGCGACACCGGAGGCGGCAACTGTGGGAGTGTTGGTGAAGGAGAGGCTGACGGAGGCTGTGGTGGTGTGAGGCAGCATGGGTGGGTGGCAGGGAACGGGTTGACGCCGGTGAAGAGGAAGTTGCGCCCGCCGCACGGGGTGGGGCTGCAGTTGGCCGCGGTCGTCGAGTAGGTGAGTGTGAGCGTCGAGGTGTCGCGATACCAGAGCGTCACAGAGCGCGCGCGCTGCTCCGCTGTCAGGGCCGTCGGGTGAGTCGGGTTGTCTGCCAGGCGCCCCGGTTGCGACGAGGTGAAGGTGACGGAGCCGTCCAACGCGCTGCTGACGTCGAGCTCCGTGCTGGAGTCGATGTCGTACTTGACGAAGCCGCTCGCCGTCAGAGACTCCACGCCAGACGGCAGGTCCGTCTCCTGGTCTAGGTCGTAGTACGTGAAGAAGAACTCGCTCAGCGTGACGGGGTGGCCACTGCTGTCGGTGAACGCAAACTGCAGCGCCACGGTCTCGTTCTGCCCGAGGTTGATCTGCGGGATCGCGCCGTTGATGCGGTTGTGCCGCGTGGCGTCGCGCGGCACGTATGGTGTCAGCGCGGTGACCCGCAGGTTCAGCGGCGAGCCATCTGGCATGGTGCCGACCGATGCGAAGTACATGCTCTCGTCAGAGGAGACGTCCGGGCCCTGACCGCCGAGGTTGTTGTTCCGTAGCGTCGCTCGGCTGAAGTCGAGGAGGTGCGACACCTCCGTCGACGCGCACAGAACCTCGGCACAAGGGTCAGAGCACTCCGTGCAGCCCGAGCAGCCGGTCCAGGTGCAGAGGTCGCTCCAGGGCTGCGTGTGGGTGGTGCAGTTGCCTTTGCACTCGCCCGCCCACAGGCTCGGACGCGCAGGCGGAGGCGGGACAGCGCACTCAGAGCAGCCACCGCACCCACTCCAGACACATAGTGCCGCCCAAGGCTGCGTCTTTGCGCTGCAGAAGCCGTCGCATGCGCCCGTCGATGGAGGTGCAGGTGGAGGAGCGCACTCAGAGCAGCCACCACATCCGCTCCAGACACATCGTGCCTCCCAAGGCTGCGTCTTTGCGCTGCAGAAGCCGTCGCATGCGCCCGTCGATGGAGGTGCAGGTGGAGGCGGGACAGCGCACTCAGAGCAGCCACCGCACCCACTCCAGACACATCGTGCCTCCCAAGGCTGCGTCTTTGCGCTGCAGTAGCCGTTGCATGCGCCCACGGCCGGTACAGCGGAGGAGGGAGGCGGCAACGGGCTGGAGCACTGGGCGCAGTCTTTGCAGGCGTCCCGTTTGCAAAGCGTTGGAAAGCCGAGCGTGTGTGTGGCGCAGTAGCGTTTGCACTCGCAGTTCACCTGAGACACCTCGAGAAGAACTAGCGCCAGCACAGCATTACGCAGCATTTTCTAGCGGGTCGAGAGGGCGCTTTGTTGTAAATTTCTAGCGAGGGTCGAAGCACCAACCAAGCGCGGACTTTCCCGGACGCATTGAATCCGCATTTGAATTTGTACGCACATGACCCATTTCTCCCGCGGTGGACCTTTCGGGGCAAAACTCGTCACAGGCATGGCGCTCAAGCAGATTTCACGGTCAAACCCGCCACGTCTGAGAAAGCGGTTAAAGATGCCGCATGCATGGGCCATGGGGCATGGAACCATCCGCGGACAAAAATTCTGAATGAAAACAATACTCAATAGCGGCACGCCCACAGCCCACCGACGAGTCTCGTCTCACGACTTCGGGAGAAACCGGTACATCCTCGCCGAGGAGAAAGGCTTTGCGGACCCCGACGCGTCGAGGACGAGGCCCTCCCGCCGCATCTGCTCGCCCATCGCCGCCGCCTGCTCGCGCGACGAGGCGAGCGCCTGCGCCACGAGCCAGCGGACGGCGGCGGCGCCGCGGAAGCCTCCGTCCGGCTCGGCAGGGACGGCGCCGCGCATCCGGTCCACGATGCCGGCTAGCCGCCCTGCCTCACCGCCCGCCTGCGGGGAGCCCGCCGCGCCGCCTCCGCCGCCGCCGCCTCCGCCTCCACCACCTCCGCCACCGCCACCGCCACCGCCCGGAGACAAAACCAGCCCCATGGCGATGTCGGCCAGCTCGGGCACGCCGAGGAAAGCCGCGAGCTCGGCGCACCAGTGCTCGGGCATCGCGAGCACGCCCCTCACCCACTCCTGCAGTGCCGCCTGCCGCTGCGAGGCAAACGCGTCGCTAAGCTTGCGGCCTACAGCGGCGGGAAGGGAGGGGTGGGCGCTCCGCCACAAGGAACGCGACACTCTTTCCGGGGCAGAGCGGCAACCTGTGCCGTAGCGGCGGCCAGGCAGCCGCGGCAGCTTGGACACTGCTGCGGCCGGGCGGCGGAGGAGCGAGGCGTGCAGCGCCTCGAAGTCACGGTACCTACTCGCGGGCCGCGCCGCAATCATGCCGCGCGCCCCGCTCCCTCGGCGCGCACACCGCCCTCGGACCGGCGCTGCACCAACCGTGGACCTCCTCCTCCGCCGCCCGCCCCGCCGCCGCCGCCCTCCCCGCCGTCTCCACCGCCGACCGGCTCCGTGCGCAAGAGGAACTCGACGTGCACCGGCGCGGCGTGGGCGGGAGGCGCGCCGGCAGAGGACGCGTCCCCGCCAGTCCCGTCCGCGAGGTCGCGAGCGACGTCGGGCACGAGGGTGTGGCCGAGGAGCGACACGCTCACAGGCGCCACGGCGAGGCTATCCAGCCCGCCGCCGCCCCAGCCGACGGAGCCAGAGCTGCCCGTAGCAGAGAGGGGGGGCGGCGCCGCGGGCGAGTCGCCGCCGCCGTTGGTCGCGTCTGGACCGGCGGCGGCTGCGAGGGCAGGGCCGGCCGTGTGGCGCCACGCCTGCAAGGAGAGGAGCCGAGATGAGCCGGAGATGAGCCGGAGATGAGCCGAGATGAGCCGAGATGAGCCGAGGTGAGCCGTGGCCGTGTGGCGGCGACGCCTCGTCCTCTGCGGCTCCGCCTCCCAGCAGAGGCGGCAGCTGGCCTGCGCTGCCGCCGCCGCCGCCGCCGCCGCAGCCAGGACTGCCGCTGCCACAGCTACCGCCGCCTCCTCCTTCCGAGGCTGCGAGGGCAGCCGCCCACTCGCCTGCACCGCCGCCGCCGCCGCCGCCGCCACCTCCACCGCCACCTCCGCCACTCTCGCCACCGCCGCCACTGGCGCCGTCAGCGGCGGCGGCGCCGCCGCCACCCACGCCGCCGGCCAGGAGGGGGCTGGTTACGGGTGGAGAGGAGGACGTTGGGGACGCGGCGGTGGGGCTGTGCGCGGCGCCGGCTCGGGTGCTGTCGGCAGCGCCGTCGGCAGAGTAAGCCAGCCACTCTCGCCACACCTCGGGCCCGCGGCCCGAGGAGCTGGCGCCGCCGCCGCCGCCCGCCGACGCGGCGTCTCCCCACTCGTCCCCATGCAGCAGCAGCAGCGCCGGATCGGGCGCAGCGCGCAGCGTGGCGGCCGAGGTGGCGGGCTCGGCCCTGCAGCGGGACAGGCACAGGCTGCCGGCGAGGAGGAGGCTGACGAGGCAGCGAGCCAGCTCGGACCAAAAGGCGACGTCGAGCCAGTCCCGGCACGGCGACGCGGGCGGCCCGACCACGAACAGCGCGACCACCGCCGCAGCCGCGCTGCCCAGCGCATACGTGGCCACCGCGAGCCGGGCGGCACGGCCGAGGCTGAGGCGGCAGCCAGAGAGCGCGCCTCCGGTTTCGAGGATGTGCGCCGCTGCGAGGACGGCCGCGGTGGCGTCGAGGCCGAGGGCGACGGCGGAGGCCGGCGGAGGGCAGAATCCTGCACCACACGCCGCAGCGGCCGCAGCAACCGGCCGCACTGCCAGGCAGCACGCGCAGCACAGCGACGCTAGCCAGGGCGCCTTGCGCAGCAGCGGCGGCGCGGACACGGGACTGCGGAGCTGAATAGCGGCGAATCCGAGCAGGAAGGCGATCGCAGGGAGGTACTGGGCGAGGAGCAAGGGCGCCGACTCGGACAGCGACGACTCACTGGACGACAGCACCGCCAACATCCGGACGAGAACACGCTGGTGCAGCCGCCATGTTTAGCGAGAGCAAGAAGAAAAACGCAAATTGGCGAGCCTCGACGCGGCGCAGGAAGCCGTGACGGCTGGTGCTGCCACGAGCGCGTCGCGGAAAAAAACGACGCCCTTCGCCCCTGGAAAGAAAGAAAAAACACACGAGCCAAAGGAGGGATGGGAGGACCACTAGACCCTTGGGCGTCTGCCTCTTCCTATCTCTCTTCGCAGTCCCTCGCCGATTCTCGCTGCAACCTTCATGCCACCTCGCGGTCGTCCCACTCTCGTCGTTCTTCCTCCTGTCGCTTCATCTTTGTTTTTTATATTTTTCTGAGCTAACCAAAAAGAAAAAGTCTTCGCGCTGCCACCACACCCTGCTGATGTCACCGACGCACGCGGCCCTGGTAATCGGCACCGCGGCGCACGGGCCCGTTCATGTCTGCATCGCGCAAGGCCCGCCCTCAGAGGTTATTCCCACTTGCAGTCTAAGCAGTCTGTGAAGTCTTCAGACTGGGTCAGACTGGGTCAGACTGGGTCAGACTGCTTCAGACTGCTTCAGACTGCCTAGACTGTGAATAGACTGCTTAGACTGCAAGTGGGAATAAGAGGGCTCCCGCGGCGATCAACACCGCAACTCCTTTTCTAAATTTCACCACGCTTCTTACGCGCGACGACGCTATGCCGCGTCTCGTCTTCGCCGCCGGCTACGCGCACAGACACAGTGCGCGGCAGCGCCGACACGTCAACCCGCGTGTACGTCAGCGACGGGTCCCGCACGCCGCACGAGGCGCATGCGTGCAGCGGCAGCGCGTGCGCCATGCGCTCGTCGCTCCACTCGCCCAGCAGCCGCCGCTTCGTCTCGTCGGAGACGTGCACGCAGCGCTGCAGCAGCGCCGCCGTCTCGTCCTCGGGCCGCTCCAGGTCCATGACGACGTTCGTCGAGGCGTGGAAGCGCGTCTCCAGGTCGATGGCCGCCTGCTCGGCCGCGGCGAGCTTGCCCTGGTCGACGCACATGCCGCACACCGCGTGCGCCGGGCAGCCGCACTGGCCGCGTTGTGGGCGCACGGTCTTGGCGACCGCCGGCGCTGCGCGCCGGTCGTGCTGCTCACGCTGCCGGCGGCGCTGGTCGCGCGCCTGCCGATCGCGCGTGTTCGTGGCGGCTGCATCTCTTGCTCGTTTCGCTCGCACCCGAGCGGCTGTCGCCAGGCGCTTCAGGTCGGCGGTGCTGCGCGCGCGGCCGTCGGCCAGGCACAGCCACATGTCCTCCTCCTTAGCAAAAAGATCGAGCACAATTGCGTTACATGGGCATGGCCGGGGTTTCTGCACCGAACGATCTTACTTTCGGTCTATCGAAAGTGTTGATCGATAACCTCACACGCGCTAATCGCCCTCTCACACGTAAAAGCGCGACGCAGGCGCGACGGCGACCGCCAGGGGATGAACATCTACGCTGTTGCTGTCCTTTCCGCGCTCCACGTGGGCGTGCCGGCCGCAAATGGAGCAAGACGCAGGCTCGCAGACAGCGGTGGTCTCGTGGAAGTCGACCTGAGCAATATCCAGGGCTCCTCAGAACGCCTGCGTCGCCAGCTGACCCATTACGAAGAGATGAGCAGAGAACCGGCGCATGACTCCGAGGAGGTGCACTCTGTGCAAGACTCCGAGGAGATTCACGACTCCGTGCACGACTCCGAGGAGGTGCACGACTCCGAGGGAAACGACTCCGAGGAGGTTCACGCCTCTGTGCAAGACTCCGAGGAGGTGCACATCTCCTCGCACGACTCCGTGCACGACTCTGAGGAGCCCATCGGCCATGCCGATTCAGAGGAGCCACGAACGTGGCTCACGGCCCCGTCGCCACCTCTGGCGTGCGCGTCCGTCAACCCAGCCACAGGTGATACGTGTTATCCCCCGGGCCCGCCGCTGCCGCCGCTGCTGCCGCTCCGTGATGGTGAAGTCCTGGCCACTACTGCGCAAGAAATACAAGATGAGGTCGACGCGGCCTTCTTGGAGGGCCGAAACGCGAGCGTCTACCTCCAGTCAGGCGCCCTCATCCGCTTCACAAGGGAGGTCGTGTGCAGTAGCAGCATCCACCTTTCGGTTCGCAGCAGCGGTTCGGGCGCAAGACTCCAGGCTGAAGGCCGCACGCGGATGTTTCGCATCGGAAATGGGTGGAGTTCTGAAGCAGCAACAGGCAGCCTCTCTCTCGAGGCGGTCCACTTCTTGGTCGGCACGGCAGCAGACAACGGTGAAAAGGGCGGCGCACTTTATGCCTACACCGGGAGTATTGTTATGAAGGATGTCAGTTTCACTGACTGCTGGGCAGCCGACCAGGGCGGCGCAATTTTTGCCCACACCATCGGGAGCATTGTTCTGACGGATGTCCGCTTCACTAACTGCTTGGCAGGCTTTGGCGGTGGCGGTGCTCTATTCGCTCTTGGACGATTTCAATGACCGCCGTCGCATTCGATAACTGTGGTTGTGACGAAGGCGATGGCGGTGCGGTCTACACCGATTCGGCCGGCGGCATATCGCTCATTGGTGTCGCCTTTACTGACTGTCACGCGCGTCGCATCGGCAGTGGCGGTGCTCTCTACGCGATTAATTTCGGCGATCTCACCATGACAGACGTCGCCTTTACTGACTGTCACGCGCAGTATGGCGGTGGTGCTCTCGCCGCGTATGACTTCGGCGATCTCACCATGACAGACGTTGCCTTCCTCGGCTGCTCCGCTGTCGTTGCTGGAGGCGCTGTCGTTGCTGGCATCTTTACTGGCGCTGGCGCTGCTGACATAACTACAACTGGAGTGACTGGCGTGCAACCGTTCGGTGACATTTCGTTGAGTGGCGTCTCGTTCACGAACTGCTCCTCGGCTAATGCATACGGTGCCATTGCTATTTTTGATGTCTCGGGCAACGTCTCGGTGACCCGCACGCGGGTGGTTAATTGCAGGGCGACTGCAAGGTGCTTGCGTGGCCGCACACGATCCCCCATCCTCATGACTGATGCAACGCCCGTTGCGCAGGTTTGGCGCATTCTATGAGTATAGAATTGTGGATACCGGGGCTTGTGTTCGTTGAATTTTTAATTCTCTTTCTTTCCGAAACTTTGGCTGTGGCACATATGTTTGGAGAGCAAGAAGAAAAACGGCGCGAAAAAACTTCTCCCACGTGGGCTGTTTGGGGCCGTGTCGTGTCGGAGTCGACCTACCCGCTACCGTGCCCGCTCGGCGAGCCTCGACGCCGCGCAGGAAGCCGTGACGGCTGGTGCTGCACACGAGCGCGTCGCGAAAAAACGCCGCCTTCGCCCCCTCTCCCTCGCTTTAGGTTTAGCCGGGTTCGACTCCACACAAATCCGAGGCGGTGACGGGTACTGTCCCGGCGGTCTCAGGCCCAGTGAGGTAGTGCGCCAGACCTCCCCGGATCCTGCTGAACAAGCTCCTCTTGTAGCTCGATCGGTCACACCGCCATCGCCGTCGGGGAGAGGGGGGACGACACTGCTTTCGGCAGCGTGCACCTCGATCCTGTACCGTGTTTGTTATGACCCCCCCCAATGAACATACCAGTGAGGGAGGGCGAGACGATCGAGGGGTCCCGTACCACGCGGAATCGACCCTATCCGGTGCTCAAGTGCTCAAGCTACGGCTAACCAAAAAGAAATCGCGCGGCGCGACAGCTGCCGCCACATTTCTTCAGCGATGTCACCGACGCTCGCGGCCCTGGTAATCGGCACCGCGGCGCACGGGCCATCCGTTCATGTCTGCATCGCGCAAGGCCCGCCCTCTCACGTGCTGCGTAGCGCGGCTGCGGCACGTGCGGCTGCGGCACCGCTGATGGGCCTGCTGGACGGCGCCAGGTCGGTCGCGGACGGTGCCAAGTCGATTGCGGACGGCGTCAAGGCGGCGTACGAGGACGATTCGTTTGTCCCGGAAGGCTTCGTGCGCGCGCGTCACATCCTCTTCCTCGCGAGCGAAGGCGACTGCGAGGCAAAGGCGGCGGCGCTCACCGCTCGTATCGAGCGCGGCGAGATCGACTTTGACGATGCGGCGCTGCGCTTCTCTGCGTGCCCGACGCGCGACCTGCACGGGGCGCTCGGGACCTTTGCGTCACTGAGCCGGCTGCGCGAAGGCACTCTGAGCGGCGACTCCATGCCGTACGACGGCAAGGACACGGCCGCCTTTGACAGGCTCGTCCAGACCGCCGAGGTGGGGCGGCTCTGCACCGTGGCGAGCCAGTGGGGGACGCACATCGTGCTGGTCGAGGCGCGCGGGGGAGAGGGCGGCGGCGAGGGCGGCGGCGGCGAGGGTGAAGCGCAGAAAGTCGAAGCTTCAGCCTCCACAGGCACCGGGTTTGGCGGTTCTGCTGCTGTGACGAGCCGCGCTGGTAAGGCCAAGGGGAGGAGAGGAGGCAGTCGGCGTAGGTGAAGACGGTCGCACAGTGACCTCAAGCAGGGCCATAGTATAGCTCCCTGCAAGTACAGCATAGCCATAGGCTGTCCATAGGATTCAATCCGGCTTGTGTGTGGTGTCTCCGTTTGCCGTGTACTACCAGTACTGCTCTGTTTTTACGGTAAGTTTACCAGAGAGAGAAAAAAGGCAGAAGAGGAATGGGGGAGGGGGGAAAGGGTCCGGTTTAAGGGCGTAAGGGCGCCGAAAAGGGCGCGCGCTCATCCGTTTCACCCCAGCTGAAGGATGAGCCCCCCCCCCCCCCCCCCGCGAAGCCGGAGAGGAGCTTGGATACACCGGCCGCTCGCATCATGGCGCGTCGCGAGAGCCGCGCCGCGATGCCGGACCGGCTCAAGGTGGCGGCGCCGGACGACAGCTCGGATGAGGAGTGGAACGGAGACGACGACGAGGAGGAGGAGGAGGACGGTCGCGTTTACTTGGACGCGTCGAAGTGTGGCCGCGTGCGCTTGCACGCGGTGCAAGGACCTGCGCAGTCGTCCTCTCGTCCTCCGGCCTGGGGGTGGACGACGAACGGCGCAAGAGCCTGGCCGACAAGGGCTGGGCACGCCGCACGGCGGTTGAACCGCTTTTCGTTTCGGCTCTCTGCGGGAAGAATCCGGCGTTCGCCGCGAGGGGGAGTACGTCGGTGGCGAACCGCCCGTCGTCGCGCGAGCCTGGGAGCAGAATGGCGCGGCATTCGCCGCCACAGGTGCCACGGCCCGAAAAGGCGTACCTCGAAAAGGTGAGGGCCAGAACCAACTTCCAGCCCAAGCCGCCTCCGTCAGGGTCGGCAGGGGATGGCCTTGCAACCTCGACAGGCGGTGACCGAACGTGGTGGCAACGGCTGACGGAGAGTACTGCTTCGCTGTGGGGCCCGACGACTTTCTCACCAACGATATGGAAAAAAAAGGCGCCTGCCGCGTCGCGCGACTTCCCCGGCGCCAGCACAAGTCAGGCCCGCGCCGCGTCCACGGGTGGCAAGTACGCCCGTGCCCTCTCCAGCCAAGGCAAGGTAGAGACGCCGCTCGACGGGCTGCGCACAATCCCTCCGGGCCCATCGCCGCTGGTGATGAACGTGGTGATGGCGCTCATCGTGCTCGGCACTGCCGTCTCCCTCTCTGGGGTGAGCGCTCCTCTCGCTTTGCGCTCTGCTCATAGCGTCGCCGCCTCCTACTCTTCGCCATGTCCATGTAGGTGGTACAGCTGGGCGATACGGTGAACTACGTCTACCGCAACTTTCCCAACCAGAACGCCACCTTCGAGGACATGAACAAAAAGTTCGAGGAGATGGCGGAGGCGATCGACGACAAGATCGACCCCTGCGAGCAAGATCCAATCCACGAGGACTACGCCCTCACCTGCGCCCTGCGCAGCATGCTGCCGCCGCCAAACGAGATGTTCTACCTCTATTTGCGGCTGGCCCAGCCCTTTTGCTGCCTCGCTGCACTCCTCACGCTCGTGCGAGCCAAGTACGCTCGCTCGCTCTACACGGGCGAGGCGCCTGCGCCCGCGCTGAAGGACGATGGCGAGCCCGCCTCACCGATCGGTGCTGGTTATATCCGTGACATGCCCGCAACGAGTCCACGACCGTCCCACAGGCAAGCTCCGTGTCACCGAGGTGCTCTACACGCTCTGCGTTAGCGCGATGAGCCTTGGCGCCGTGGTGGCCGCCTTCATGATGCTCGCGTACGGATTTGTGATGTTCCGCATGCTGGTGATCCCGAGCCGCGCGTCGGAGGTCTGCCATGACGATCGACGTGTGGGGCGAGGCGTTGTGCGCACGTTCAGGAAATGTCCCCATAGGTTTGCCACATGACGATCGACATGATGAGCGACTCGTTTCACAACGACACCACCAACGGCATCGAGGGCTTCGCCAACGCCTCGGTCGGCAAGCTCGAGCTCTTCTTCGACGAGCAGGAGGCGTCGCTCAACCGCAACATCGACCTCAACGCATCGCTGCGTGAGTTTGGTGCGGTCACGAGCCCGGACCTTCCCGGCTGTCTGGCCATACGCAAGCTTGCGGGCTGCGGCCGCCTCGCCTCCAAGGTGCCCCTCCCACCCTCGCCTCCGCCTCCCTCACCTCTGCCGCTACATCGCCGCCCTCTGCCTGTCCCACAGGTCTGCCACCAGCTGCCCGGCGTGATGGACACCCTCTACTGGGTCGCACCGCATGCGTACGTCGACGTCGGCAACCTCGGCCCGGTCTGCGAGCAGGGCGAGGCCGTCGTCGACACCGCCTTCCTGCTCTGCTCCACCGATATTAACGGGACGGCCGCCAGGCGCGAGCTTCTTATCAGCCAGGCGGAGAAGTACGAGCTGCAGAAGCGCGAGTTTGTCGACGCGGCCTTCGAGTACGCGCTGGATCGCATCTCGCCGATGGTGCACGCGTACCTCATGTCGCAGGCCAATGAGACCTTCCCCAACGCGACGGAGCTGCGCGAGATGCTCGACGCGCCCGGCAAGTTCGAGCAGATGCGGCCCGTCTGCGACGACATGGAGTACGTTGAGGACGGCGTGGTCCGCTGGTTTGTGGGATCGCTCGTCGTGATGGCGTGCGCCCTCCTCTCCTTCGCCTACTGGAACACGTACACGAACTTTGTCATGCTGTGGGAGGCGGAGGCCATCTCGAAGAATGTGCCCACCGGTGCCCTGCTCGCCGGCGGTGGCTTCGTGCTGGGCGGCGCCATCCTTTACAATGGGCTGATGGTCTTCCAAGCAGCGCTCGCAGCGGCCGAAGACTCGGTCTTCTTCCCTCGTGGTTTCGACCGAGGGAGCGACATGATCCGCATTACGCGTGAGATGGTTGTCTTAGGTCTTCCGTGTGGAGGAGGAGCTCGACCTGCTCAACGGCGCGACACCCATGCTGAGGTCATCGGCCGGCCGCCAACCCGTGTTCTGATGGCACCTTGCCGCACCGCGCGCAGGCACCATCTCGATGGAGTACACCGAGCTCGAGCTCGTCAACGGCTCGTACGTCAACGTGACCCGCACTGTGAGCGGGCGGCAGGCTGATTTTATCCACTCCAAGATTGTCGAAGGGGTGGGGATAATCGTCGGCGCGCTCATGGCGGTCGCAGCCCTCGCGGTGCTGCACGGCCGCGCGGCGCGCAGCCGCTACGACGCGTCGGGCAAGGTGACCGAGTCGCTGACAGACAAGTACCTGCCGAGCTTCTTTGCGGGACCGCTCGAGCTGACCATCTACATCGGCCGGCTCTTCAAGGACGTGTTTGCGGTGCTGGTCACTGGCCTCCTCCTCCTCGTCGCTTTCGCCATCCTCAAGGTCAATCTGTTGCAAAAGCACAACCCGCAGATCAAGAACCTCCTCAACAAGGGCGCGATGGAGCAGCCCCTCTGCGGCGCGCTTCAACAGCTTCCCTTTGCGCCGCTGGTCGAGTCCGCCGGCCCGCTCACCTCCTCAGACAGCTTCGTGTCGGGGGTGGAGGCGCTCGCGCGCCTCTCTGGTGAGGTGAGACGGCATCGACCACCCACTAGATAGACTCATCCCGAGTCGGTCAAAAGCTTGGCACACCTCTGCTAAACCGCCGCAACCTCCCGCGCCACAGGAGGACTGGCCGGATGCGTACTCCTCCGAACGGCTCATGAAGGATTCGGGCGTCCGGTCGATGCTCAAGCAGACGCTCTCGACGGTCGACTTCCACGAGGTGTGCGAGCGGACGCTCAACGTCACCGCGCCCCTCTACCATGCGGCGGACACATGCGTCAAGCTACCGTACACGCTCGACACGATCGTGTGGCTCTCCACCACCTTCGCCTCCGAGTCGGACCCCGCGCTCAAGTGCCCGGCTGGCAGCGACGGGCCAACTGGCGTCGAGCGGATGGCGAGCTTCGCCTCGGGGCTGCACAACCTGGAGGCGCCGTGCGACCGCACCCGCGTGTGGGTCGAGAAATGGCAGCACCTTTGCCACCTCGTCGACCCCGACACCTTCAACCCCGTGGACCCCGCCCTCTCGTACGGCGGCTTCGATGTCTTTGCCTTTCTCGGCCTTGGCGGTGGGCTGTCTAGAAGAGCCCACGGAGGTCGGATTCGCCTCTTGAGCGCCGCGGGATAGTTTTGCACAATGCGAGAGCCGTAGATGCCTTGGCCATCACTTTCGTCACCGACACGTCCACTGCTGCCGCAGGATCGTCGTACTCGTACCAGCCTCCGGCCGACGACGACTACGATGACTCCTACGGTGAATTCAATCGGGAGAGGAAGGCGGCCGCCGTGGCCAGGCACCAAGGCCACGAGGCGACGGCCTTGCTGGACGTGATCCGCACGACGGTCGAGCTGCTCAAGGCGTCCAAGGAGTCGTACGAGGTGGCCTGTGCCCGGCCCAGTCGCAGGGCGATGGCGCGAACGATTGTTTGGAGAGAGGTTGGTTGCTGTAGGCGATGTATCCGGCCCAGGCGCAGGCGATGGCGGGCCGGATGCTCGCGTTTGACCGAACGGACACGCTGCGTCTGCTCAACATGACGGCCGCCTTTGACGCGGATGCCGGCATGGAGGGCGTCTGCGAGACCGTCTACGGCATGCAGTGGGCCCTCGTCACCGTCTTTGCCGGCTGTCTCACCCTCTTTGGCGTGGCGTGCTACGTCTTTTACCTGCGCACAAAGTATGACCTGATGGAGTCGCTCGCCGACCTCAAGCGCGTTGCCTCCCAGAGAGCTCGAGATATCCCGAGATCGCCCGAGCTATCGTCCGAGATCACCTGTCCTGTAGGCTTGAGCTCATCGATTACTTTGACGTCGACGGCGACGGCCTCGAGGCCTCCGAGCTCGGCAACAACGCTGGCATCCAAAAGGTCATGGCGGCGGAGCTCAATTAGAGGAGAGGGGAGAAGACGCGCTGCTGAGCCGCCGTGTCCTCTCAGTCTGTCTCTCTCTCTCGTCTGCGGTCGTCTGTGTTTGCGCGGCCGGCGCGGCACGTGCGTGTACGGAACGGGAAGAGGCCTGCCCGAGGATCGAGAATAGACGTCTATAACGCATATTTTTGCGCCCACAGGCACGAGACCTCTGTGCTCGCCACTGACGCCACCCATCATGTATCACTCGGTTCACTCACATTCATCCCGACCCCAGAACCACTCAGCACGCTTGGCGGCTGCACGCTCACCCACGGGCTGTCGTCCTCGAGCTCGCCCATCAGGCCCTCCCAGCTCGCAGCCGCCTCCGCGGACGGGCCCGCTGCGGCTTGGGCGCCTCCATCCGCCTCCATCCGCCACTGCCCGGCCGCTGTGTGTTGCCGCGTGGAGCCGCTCGAGCGTTGGCTCAGCTCCATGTCATCGGCGGCAGCGTCGGCCTCGGCGGCAGTCCCGTCTGCCGCGAATCCCTCCGCTTCGGTCCATGCCTCGTCATCGGCCTCCTCGTTCGCCGCCGGCGACACCGGGACCACCTCTGCTGGCGTCGGCATTATCTCGCCTGGCCGCCAGGCGAGAAGTGCGCGCTCCTCCGCTTGGAGCACGCGCAGCTGGTGCTGGATGTGGCGCCGTGCCTCGCGCAGCGTGGCGGACTCAACGTCGAGCTTGCTTCTTGGCATGTATACGCCCCCGCGCCCTGTAGCCGGCGCGCGCCCCAAAAAGGAAAAGTAAAGAAACAGGCGTGGCAAACTCGGTGTCGAACCACCAGCTCGACGCTCACTACAAGCGCGCTTTGGTTTTCTTCTTCCCCGAGACACTCTGTCTCCGAGACAGACAAAATAACCTCCAACTCCCTCAGTCTCTAGGACTCCCCTCTCAATGACCACCTCTATGCACATTCGAGGTGGCCTTATCTTATGGAGGGAAGTGCTAGAATCATCATCCAGGAGGGAGGGCCCCCCCCGCCCGACCCGCGGATACTCCCTCTCGCGCCGGTTCGGCACGCGGGAGATTGCCACGTGGACGGAGGGGTTATTTTGCGAGGTGGAGGCCGACTTCTCAAGCAAGCTCGAGAGGCTTCAGATACACTCTGTCTCCATCACCGCGTTTCGGTCCAGCCAATCGTCCAGCTTGTGACAATCAACGACATGTTTGGTCGCACCCTCCACGTGATTGACGGGATCAGCTCTCGCCTTAGGAGTTGTGATGCGTACGAGTGGTGTGTCGTGAGAGCGAGCGAGGTGGTGTCCGTCTCGGTGAGGTTTAGTCGCGGCTCGAGCTCAGGTGCGTCAGTCGTCAGAGTCTCCTCAGAGGGCCCGGCGGGGTGGAACTCCGGTCTTGCTGCTTGCCCATCGATGCTGCGTCGGCCTTGCGGCCGGGCTATGCGCTCGAAGGGGAGGGTGGGCGTAGACGCGGTGGCGTCCAAGCCTGGTGTTGCCAAGAAGTGTTGCTGCTCACGCGACGGGTCTTTATACGCTTACGTTTGCTCAAAGGGTGGGGCTGGGGTGAATACGACACTCTGTCGCACTCACGGACTGAAGTCAGGAGACCGCCGCCGGCCCGAGACTGAACGACAGGGCCTCGCTCCGAGACCCTCACACGACTCTCGTGTGGCGTTCAGAGAGTTCGTTACGCACAATGGGACCGCCCGTCCTCCTCAATTCGATTATCGGGACCCCCGGGTGTCGTTACATGCGCCTCGTCACTCCGGTGCGAGGATCCATTCGCGGCTCCAATCGCCCCAAGTCACCGCGGAGGACTGTCCAAAAACCCTCCTCCGTGACATTCTCCAGACAGCGTATAACCGGTCGGCCCTTGGACTGTGGCGTGGTTGGCGTCGCCAGTCGAACTCCGAAACCACGAGAAAAGAAAGCGCAAAGGTTTTCTCCTTGAGACGGCGGCCTTGACCGCACTCGCCTCTCACAGCTCCACCGGCTCGACCACCGTCATTTCCTCCTGGAATCTCGCCATCCGCTCCTCCTCGCGAGACGGCGGAGAGGGCGGCAAAGGTCGGCGAGACGGGGGCAGCGGCTCTCTCGCCACGCCGTCGTCGCCCTGTCCACCACGTGGAGAATGAACCTGTTGGAAGCGCGAGGACACTCCTTCAGTCAGCACGGGCGGCGGTGGCGGCGGTTGCGTCGACACACTCCCACCATCCCACCCCAGCCGGCAGCGGCCGCGAGTGCATGAGCAGCCGTGCGTGGCAGTGAGGGTTTTGGGAGGAGACGGCTGGCCTGCGTCTCGTCGGTGCGGCGCGCCTCCTCCACAGGCGTCGTCGTCTCCTTCTCCAGTGTTGACTCTTGGTCTTGCACCTGCCGGCCGCGCCGATAATTCAGCGGCGGCATAATTGCAAGTGAACAAGTGCGGGGTGGGCAACGATGCGACGAGGCGGTGTGACGCGGCGGCCGGCTCCGCCGCCTGCTTGCCAATGGTGGCCATTCGAGCTGAGAAGGGGCCGGTGAGCAGGACGGAGCAGCCCTGGTGAGGCGGCAGGCGGCGGCGGCGGAGCACACTGAGTGGTGAGCAGGCACCGCCGTAACAAAAGGAGAAAACGCTTTATTATTATAAATTCCATAGATTTCTTTGCATCCCTGTGCGCGAAGTCGATGCCCCTCCACAACCCGCCACAGCTCCTCCGAGGCACCCTCCAGGTCCTCTGCGAGCGGCCGTCGTTGCTGCCCGCCGCGCCCGGCGTCCTCGCCGGCGACGAGCCGCCGCCGTCGCTCTCGGGCTGCCTCGTGCGCTTCATGGCGCCGTTTCGCCGGCCCGGCCGACCGCTCTACAGCGCCGCCGCCGTCGTGAGCCTTGATGCGAGCGCGAGGACCGTCTGCATCCGGCTGCTGCACGAGCCCACGAGGGTCGACCTCCAATCCGACCCGGTCACCGAGGTGGATATCGCGAGCGTTTCCAACCTGCCGCTGACGGCCGAGGAGAGGCTCTGCGCCTCTGCCGAGGCTGAGGCACTCGGAAACGGCGCGCCTCGGATCGCTGCGTACCTCTCATCGCTGGAGGCGTCGGACGCGTACCGCGAGACGACGCGCGTGCTGCAGAGCCACCCTCGGTTGCGGCCTCCCTCGCGCCGAAGTGCCATTTGCGCGCGCCGCCCGAGCGACGCCCTCGCGCCCGCCATGTCTCAGGTGCACGCGGCTCGAGCAGTTCTGGTACGAGCAGCTCGCCGGGCAACCCGAGCACGAGCTGACCGACTCGAGCCCGCCCGCGCACGTCTCGTTCGGCTACCCCTCGCTGCATGGCCGGATAGGAGAGCAGCTCGGTGGGGCGAACCTCGAGACGAGCGTCCGCCTGCTCAAGGCGGAGCTGGCGAACGAGCCGGCGGCGCGCGCCGCCGGGCTCAAGGGGCTCTTCCGGCACTGGCCGGAGCCGTACCGAACGCGGGCGCAGGCCACGGTCTCCTTCCTCCTCTTCGACGACCGCGAGCTGCACTGCTACCGCGAGTATGTGAATCGCCTTGATGCGGCGGGCGTGACGCCAGAGAATGTTGCCAGGCGCGCCCGATCGCACGCTGCCCTCCGCCCCATACCCTTGCCCTGGCCCTGCCGCGCCGAGCCCATCGATTGCCGAGCAGGGACAACGCGGGCGAGTACAGCCTGCAGGGAGTGGTGATCCGCCTGCTCGGCCCGTTCATGCACGAGTGGACCAAGCAGGGCAAGCTGCTCGTGCCGTCGAGGGAGAACCTCCGCTGTGCGCGCCAAACCCGGCGACGCCCGCGCGCAGCGCCCCTCTGCGCCGCTCGCCTGCCCCATCTCCTTCCGCCACTCGGGCACCGCGGCGAGCCGGCGCGGCAGCGTGCCGCGTATCGACCGAGTCTCGGCCACGGCCTCGGCCGGTCCTCGCGCTGTGGGAGTCGAGCGGCGTCCGGGGAGGGGAGAGGGGCGATGCCCCGGGCCCCGGGCATGAGGGGGACATGCCACTCCTTAAACCAGGCGTGTCGTGCCTCGACTCGATGGAGCACGGCTTCGAGTCGATGCTGCAGTGCGTCTGGCTCCAGCCCTGCAGGCGCGCCCGCTGCTCCGGGCCTCACGCCTCTGCTTCTCACCCGCCGCTCGTGCTCCCTCTTAGGCATTTCCTCTGCGTGCCGTGCGCTCGACGACTGAAGGGCGACGGGCAGACCAAGTGTCCAATCTGCAACAGGACCGTTCTCATGTGGGCGGTCCAAAAGCGGTGAGGTGTTTGTGGCACGTGTGTCTCGTGTGGCGCGATCGAGCGCGACTGTAAACATTCGTGTAGTGATGTATAGACCGACACATAATTGGCCGCGCTCAGCGGATCCTCGCAGCCACACGCAGTGCAGAGCGCCTGAGCAGAGTTTTCCCATACATGGACATCTCTACGCAACATCGGAAGATCCTTGGACTGTAGATCGTAGATGCCTTTTAGAGATCTCTTAAGTGGCAAATCTCCTGCCAAGAGCAGCAGTAGATTGAAGAACTGGTGGAGGCAAATCTTCTCCGGTGTAGATGCTCGAGAGGAGTCTGAGATCTCGAGTTGGTGCGTGCAGTCGCTTGAGATCTTGCGACAGAGGTGGAGATTCTGACTTCGCGCCAAAGGCGCCTAGAGATCGTGTGGGCCGACTGGAGATTGCAAAATGGCGCGAAAAGAGGGTGGAGATCCTTTTGCATTGTGAATGAATCCATAGCGCATCTCCTTGAAGGTTTGAGCCCCCCTCCTCCCCCGGGCCCCCGAATCGAGATTGGGGATTGGAGATTGGAGATGGAGATCGGAGATCTGACTGAATCCGGCCTAAGATGACGACGTTGGAGATTGGAGATTGAAGATGGAGATCGGAGATCTGACTGGATCCGGCCTAAGATGTAGCGACGCTGGAGATTGGAGAGTACTGGAGAGATGGAGATCGGAGAGCTCCCCAAGTCCCTAGTGGTGTCTCATCGTTTTTTGTTTTATTTTTAGATAAAGGTTCTGTGCGCGGACGGCCCGGGGAGCCTCCGGCGCCATTTTAATCTGCGCTCCTCTTCATGGCCTGCGGCGCCTGGCTTGAGCTTGGAACTGTAAACTAGTCCGCCGGGGAGCCCGTGCACAGGACGGGGCTGCGCCGCGCGCTCTCCACACTCCGGGGGGCGCGCGCGCGCTGCATGGCACGGGAAGCGCGCTCCGTGTGTATACGGCAAACCAAGCGCAACCCCAGGACCACATTCTCACCACAACCTCACCCGCCGCAGGCCTTGCTCAACCAGGTCGAGCACACATGCGGCAGGTCCCGGAGGGTGGAGCCCGGCTCGCCCACCTTCACAAATACCTGCCGCACGAGCTCCGCATCGCGCGGGATGTGCAGGTAGTGCGGGGCCTGGGCGAGCCGGGCGCAAAACGCGTCCACGCCGGCGACGTCCTTGTCCTCGAGCACCGTCACATTTGGGTACAAGAAGAGCGCGCGCGTGTCCGCGTTATACGTCACGTAGTGGGGCGTCGTGTCATCGTAGTGCTCGCGGCTACGGTACGGCGGCTCGTCGACAAACTCGAGCGTACCCATCTCCTGCTCCTGGTGCAGCGCGTGCCAGTGCTGCTCCCCATCCTCGTACACGACCAGGTGCTGGTCGGACGTCGCGTCGAACTGGCGGACGACGCCCGAGCACCAGACAAACTCGTCTGCCCTCTCCCACCATACGCGAACCCTGCATGGGGGGGCGGTGTGTGAGTCGGTGCTGGATACGGTGCGTTGGGCTCGGTTGGTGTGTGGGGCGCGTACCTCAAGCCCATCACTTCGAGGGAGTACGACAGCAGTTGCTCAAAGTCGTTCTCGGCGCCAGGCACGTGAAAGCCGGTGATGATGAACACGCCGTGGTCCCGTTGCAAGACTTGCCTCTGGCTCGTCACGCGCACCAGCGGCTTGCGGAGGAGGAGGGCGGTGCCGATCCCTGAAGCCGCGGCGCATAGTCGGTTCATGCCTGCAAACGAGAGCAGGTTCTCGCACGGCCGGGATGACGGCGCCCACACTTCAATTCCGAGCTCCGTCAACTCGAGGCCAAATCCGCTCATCATTGCCGCCTGACCACACACAAACTTTCCCGGCTCGGGGAGCAGCGTGACGTCAGTGATGTACTCGACCAAGCCGTGCGTTCGGTGTAGCTTTCGCGGGCGCGCCTCGCGAAGAATGCCGTCCGCGCGCAGCCGCTCGAGCGTCGCCGCCTGCGCCGCAAGCGTGGTGCACAGCGGCAGGTCGACCGCGCCGCCTGCCCGCCGGACAGTCCACTTTACGCGGACGGTGCCGGCTCGGCGCGTCCACTGGTGGCGCAGGCGCGCGGCAGCCGTCTTTGGCCGCGGCTTCGCGGTCCGCAGAGGCTTACCCCGCTTACTGCGCCTAGGCTTTGGCTTGGCGGCGCGGCGCGGCGCCGCCGCCTCCTCCTCTCCAGCATCTGTCCCTCGTTTCTGAGCACGCTTACTCCGCTCGCCGTCCGACTGAACGGTTGCCTTTGCTCCCGAGTCGCCGCACCGCAAGCGCCCTTCGAGGATGCCAGCCGCCGACGGTACCATGTTTGCGAGCGTGTCGACGTTCGCCTTCTCGTTCGGCGTGCACTTTATGCAGTATCGCGCAGCCAGCCGCGACTGGTCCCGGGTAAAGTCATCGGAGCCATGGAAGGTGCGATGGATGGCGCAGTACAGGTATTCCCCACCCGTCCGGAGCTCGACGTACGTTGGCGTAACGAGGTGTGGCGGCACGTGAGGCATGACACCTGGCGAGTAGAGGCCCCGCCCACCCAGGGTACCCAGAGTAGGGACGCCGGGGCTCTGCCGCAAGAGACCTCGAGAGTGCGTGCGTGTGCCTCTACTCGCCAGGCATGACACGCAGGAGGGTGCGGGCATTAAGAAAAGGGAAAAGATTTCCGCAAAAATCTACCGGTGCGCCGCAGTGGCGGCCCCGAGAAAAGGCCCGACACCATTGTGAACGGGCTTCCTTCGACGACGCAAATTGGAGCATGAGATCTCCGAAGCCCGCCAAAAAAAATTTCCTGCCCCACAGCGAAGCTTCACAGCGAGGCCACAGCGAAGCTTCACGAGGCCACAGCGAAGACGTCCAACACCTAGGTCAGCCTCGCCCCCCGCTGCTGCCCAACGCGAGCAAACGGGCGTGAGCAGCCGCCACCTGCCGAGGCGTTCATGTCACCGCGTCTGGATTTTCGCCAGCGCATATGTGCTTGAACACTCGTAGCATGGCGGCGGCAGCGCGCGCCCACCCTCACTCAATCATCCACACCTGCAACTCTTCTTCCACTCATTCGCGCCTTTCTCGCCACTGCCTCAGGTCTCTACTCCTCAAGGGGGCGGAGGCGGCCATTCGCTGTCAGCAATTGTACTCTCCTCCCCGCCTCTCCCGCCCCCTCTCCGCCGCCGCTGCCGCTGCCGCCTCCTCAGCTTCCACTCGGGCCGCGCCTCCTCCGTCCCCGCCATTGCCTTGCCGTTGCGACGGCTGCCGCCTTCGCTCGCCGGGCCACACGCGACCGTCCGTCGCCGCCTCCACCCCCTGCGAGGCGAGGCTCCCGTGTGAGCCGTCAGCCACTAGTGAGGGAGGCGTATTGCCTGCGAGACGTCAGCAAGCTCCAAGGCCACCGCCACCGCCACCGCCACCGCCGGTGCTTCCAGGACCATTACCACCGCCACCACCATTACCCCGCCGCCGCCTCCACCCTACTGTCACCTCTGTCCCATGCCGCCGCCACTGCCGCCGCCGCCACCACCACCACTACCACCATGGCAGAGGCAGGGAAGAGCGTGTAGACATATAGTTCGCAATCACATCTTGCAGCATGGAGACCGCACAAGAGTTTTTTGTAAGTTCACCAGAAACACAAAGACAGAGTCCGAGTCGGGACGTACACAGCGCGAGAGGCACAAGTCGCGAGCGGTGCAAGAGACAGAGGCTCCTCTGCGCGCAGTGGCCCCGACACAAGTCACATATGGGGGGCGCGCAAGGCGGACAGCGAGAACATAATGACGGGCGAGAAGCGCGGTGTGGCGTGAGGCGCGGCGTGGCGCGGCGTGCGGCGTGGCGCGGCGTGCGGCGGCCGCACGCCCTGTGGGCACACCCCACGTGTGTATACTGTACCATGCGAGGAGAGACGAGAAGACAGAGTTGGCGCGGCGTGCGGCGCGGCGCACGGGGTGCGGCGCGGCGCACGGGGTGCGGGCACAGAGCGGCGTGCGAGCACAGGGCGGCGCAGCTGCAGAAACGAGTGAGTCCGCTGAACATGCACAGTGGCTGCACGCGCCGTCAAGCCAGCCTCAGCGTGGCCGCTCAGCCGCGCTGCCGCTGCGCCGCCTCGAGCGCTGCGTGCGCCGCGGCAAAGATGTTGGCGTCGATGAGGCGCGTCACGGAGGGCTTTGTGCATCCCTCCTTGACGTAGACGGTCACCACCGCCTTGAGCGCGGGGCCGCAGCTTTTGTCGCCTGGCGCGGGCAGGTGGGCACCGGGGGGGGGGAGGAGTGATGCGCACCGGGGGGGGGGGGGGAGGAGTGATGCGCGGGCGCGAGAGGCTCGCGCGAGGGGATGCGACGGTTGAGGGGCTAAGAAGGTAAGGGATGGGGGTGCGCACCGGGCATGCCGCGGTGGCACGCGACGCAGTCCCCTGAGTAGGCCTCAGTGAGCAGCGCGAGGCCCACGCCCCCCGCGGCCTGCTGCAGCTGCGCGACGAGGTCCTCCTTTGGCGGCTCAAACGAGCCCTCGGCGCTGAGCTGGTAGAAGCCGAGGGAACGCTCCGAGCCAGCGAGCCCAAAGACGAGGCGCAGCAGCACGGCGCGCGCGTGCGGGTCGCGGTGGGCGTTGCCGCCCGTGGCCGCCTCGTAGACCAGCAGCTTGAGCGACATGAACGCGTCGAGGCGCATGAGGCGCCTGTCTCAACGGTGGGGCGGCGGGTGCGTGAGCGGGGACTGCGCGAGCAGGAGGCGGACTGAGGGAGAGGAGGCGAGGGTTGGCTGAGGCACAGAAGGCCGTATGCGCGCGAGGGACAGAGCGGGAGGGACAGAGGTGTGCGAGGGCGTGAATGGTGAGAGGCAGGGCCCGGGGTGAGAGAGCGGCGCGCACATGCACTCCGCGATCGGCGGGCAGACGGCGTCCATCGCCGCCACCTTGGCCTGGAACGAGGCCGTGGGCAGCTTCGTCGTGTCGAAGCGCGGCGGCACGAGCGGGATCATGAGGACCGAGCCCGGGTTGGTCGCGCGCAGCAGGTCCACGATTGGGAAGTGGCCAAAGAGGACGGCAGAGGCGGTCTTGCGGCGTGCAAACGATGCTGCGGAGAACCGCCGGTAGGCGGCGAGCACGGCCGACAAGATCGCGACCCCTGCGGACTGCATGTTCTCCGGTGTGAGGCCCTTGACGTACGCCTGAATGCTCGAGGCACCGGAGAGGGTAGAGAGCGCCCCGCCACCGGCCAGAAGCAGCGGCGTCTCGAGAGCGAGCTCCATGCTACTCGGGTTGAGCAGCGAGCTCGGATTGACGGAGTCCCAATCGCGGAGCGTGCCGGGAGGCGGGGCCTCATACGCGAGCACCATCTCCTTGTACCTCTCGGCGGCGGCCACGGCGACCTCGACCTCGAGCGCCGCCTTGGCGAGCAGCGGCCAAAGCCGCCGGAAGGCCGCGGCGAGCGCCGTCTGCACGCCGTCGTCCTTGAAGTCGATGTAGGTCGACAGCTCGTCGGGCAGCTGCAATGGCGCGGCCGCCCCCTCAAAGTCAGCGGCGCGACCGTCCTCGCTCGAGCTCGAGCTGGCCGGCTGGAGCTGCAGCGCGGCGGGCGGCTCGGCCTGCAGCGTGGCCTCGGAGCGCGGCTCCTTGCCGGCCTGCGCGTCAAAGCGGTCAGCCGAGACTGGGAAGCGGCCCTGGAACAGCGTGTGCAGGTAGCCGCCTTGCTGCAGCGACTCTTCGAGCAAGGTCAGGATGGGAAGGATGGCAAGCGCCTGGTTTTGCGACTGCGGCGCCAGGTGGCACCATGCCAAGCTCGCCGCGGATAGCCTCCCGAGGCCAGACCCGAAAGGCTGCAACTCCTCCAGGAAATTTCCCATCGCCTCCTGCGGGATTGGCCGGGCAGCGCCAGACAAGCCGACCAACAGGAAGTCCCAACGCGCCTCGCTCGCCGCGGCCGCCTGCTTCCACCCGCCGTTGCCGCTGTGCATCGTGTCGGCAAGGAGCTCGGCGTCGCGCTCCCGCAACAACCGGAGCAGCACGCGCGACGCCGCCTCGGCCACGCTCTCTGCCTCGGCGGGCGCGCCGCCTGCCGGCACGAAGGCCCAGCGGGATGGGCTCCTGGGACTGCCTGCCGGCATCCACTTGCAGTCCCCGCGCGCCTCCAGCTGGAGGCGCGCGAGGACTTTGGCTGACGTGGCCGCCCCGCCGGCGAGCGCCTCCCGCGCCTCGTCGAGCAGCTGCCTCGTGCCCTCCACGTGCAGCGCCTCGAGCGTGCCGAGAACCGCCTTGAGCAGCGCGAGCGCGGCGCGAGGCCCCGATGCCTCGCCGCGCAGCTGCACGCGGACGGCGGTGGACAATCCCAGGGAGTCCTCCGCGGGCGAGGCCAGCACGAGCAGCGATGCGAAATCGGTGTTGGACGCGCCCGGCATGAGAGAGCGGACCAGCGAGAGGGTCGCCAAGATGGAGCCGTCGAGGTTGGACCGCTGGATGAGGCCCTGCGGAGAGACGTCCCGGGGCGGCGCCTGGCCGGCGGGCCCGAATGAGCCGAGAATGGCCCGCACCATCACCGTGCACTCGACCGGCACGTCGCGCTGCTCCCGCAGCCGCCGCAGCAGCACGCGCGCCGCTGCCTCGGCGACGCTCGACGGCTTGACGGGCGCGTCCTCGGCCGCCAGGAAGTGCAAACCGCCGTGGCCACCGCGCCCGCAGCCAAGCCGAAGCATCCAATCCCCGCGCGCCAGTGCGACGAGGCGCGTGAGGAGCGCCGCAGGCGCCGCCCCGCCGGCGAGCGCCTCCCGCGCCTCGTCGAGCAGCTGCCTCGTGCCCTCCACGTGCAGCGCCTCGAGCGTGCCGAGAACCGCCTTGAGCAGCGCGAGCGCGGCGCGAGGCCCCTTCGCCTCGCCGCCCAGCTGCGCGACGGCGGTGGACAATCCCAGGGAGTCCTCCGCGGGCGAGGCCAGCACGAGCAGCGATGCGAGGTCGGTGTTGGACGCGCCCGGCATGAGAGAGCGGACCAGCGAGAGGGCCGCCAAGATGGTGCCGTCGAGGTTGGACGAGCGGAGGAGGCCCTGCGGAGAGACGTCCCGGGGCGGCGCCTGGCCGGCGGGCCAGTACCTGTTGGGGATATGCCGCACGATCGCCGTGCACTTGGGTGCTGCCTCCTCTGACTCCGCGCGGGCCTTGACCGCGCGAGCCTCAGCCGCGGCGTCCACCTGAGACCTCTTACGCTTCGTCGGCATACTGCAAGCAAGCGACCACTGCAAGCGACCACTGCAAACAAAGGGCGCGCTATTTTTCTTTTCTCTTCCAACCCCCGGTGCACTTGAGCGTAGGCCCCCGAAATAAAAGGAAAAAAATCAGACGCGGCGGAAGAGCCGCGATGCTGCGCTTCGCGGCGGGTCTGTGCGTCGTCGCCGGGCTCCTTCAGCATGCTCCTCGCGCGCCCCGTGTCGCACCCCGCCCCTCGCGCGTCGCGCTCGCCGATCAGAGCTCAACGGCACCCTTGGCCTGCCGGTCACGTACGACGAGCAGAAGGAGCGGTACGCAGTCATGCTCGTGTCGAACCAATCGCGAGTCCTGCTCAAGCCTGGCAACCTGAAGCCATGGCTCGTCGAGCCGGCCAAGGGAGAGCCAGTGACCGCGGTCGCCATCGGGACGGCATCGGTGGGCAGCTCGAGCTGATCAAAGCCGGCGCAGCGCACTCGCAAGAGGACGGCATTGCGGAGGCCGTCTACACCCGGGCGCTGAACCTCGGCGGGACGGATGTTCGAATGCGCGCCGAGCTTGCGGCCGAGCTCTATCGGGGTGGAGGCGTGGAGATGCTCGTCCAGTCCATGGATGCACACATGCCCGACCGCCGGTGGCCGGACCCCTCTACTCTCCCCTCCTCTTCTTCACTCTCCAGCTCCTCTCAGCAGCCTCTCAGAGTGTTTGGTTTGTCAGTTGTTTGTGTCAGAGTGTCTCACACTCACACAGAGGACGGAGCTCTCTGATTGCCCTCCCGTCCTCGCACCCCAGGCGCGTCTTCTTCGCGCTCTTCTTCGTGAGCCAGCTACTCATCGCGGAGGAGGTCGGGGGTCGCGCCCCTCGCCCCGCCTCGATACCGCACGGCTCGCTCCCTCCTCACCACCAGCTCACCACTCACCCACGCCCCAACCATCGCGCGCAGGACGGCACCGAGCGCTCTCTGGCGGCTGAGGCCAAGGAGCGGGCGGTGAGGGCCGGCTACTTTGACCGCCTGTGCGCCGCGCTCAAAGCACACACGACGAGCGACGTCCAGGTTTCATCCCGATTGGGCTCTGTCTCTTCTCTCCCCCTCTCCCGCGCACTCTCACGCCTTGCTCCTGGCCTCTGCACAGTGCACGGCGCTCTCGGCCTTTGCGCAGGGCGCGAGCGGCGGCGCCTTCGTCGGCACCGAGGCTCGCCGCTGCGCGGCGGCCCGCGCAGGCGGCCTCGAGGCAGTGCTCGCGGCGATGCGGCTCGCGCCGCACCGCTCGGCGGTGCAGCACTTTGGCATCACGGCGCTCAACGCCATATGCGCGACGGGCAACGCCGTGGGCGTGCCTCCGGTCATGTCGCGCTGCGGCCTGGCCGTGCGCGCGGGCGCCCCCTCCTTGATCCTCGAGGCGATGCGCCGTTTCGGACACGTGCGCTCCGATCAGGGCGTGTGCCTGCACCGGATGCAGGGCCCCGACGGCGGAGAGATCGAGTGCGCCGTGCCCGGGTCGATCCTGCAGTCGGGCTGCATGGCCCTCGACTGCCTCGTGGCGGACGACGACGAGAGCCGCATCCAGGCGCTCAATGACGCGGGCACGCTCAAGGCGCGGCGATACCTACAAGGTTGCGCCCTCTGTCCTCTCCCAGCTTACAACAGAACGCGTGCTCGCCGAGGTCGTGCGCGCCGACCCGGCATGCGCCGACATGGCGACCCACGTCAACACCGCGTTCCAGGGCCCGCCCAAGCGGCTCGCCGAGATGAAGGTCATCGAGCCCCTCTTCGTCAGGCTCGTCGGCGACTCGGACATGACATCGCTGATGGACGAGGCCGACCAGATGACCCTCGTGGGCACGCCGGAGGAGCCCGGCTTCATGCTCAAGGCGGCGCAAAAGGTGTGGGAGAAGACGGAGGGACGGGCTTGACGAGGAAGTTTGATTGGTGGACGTGTGACGAGGCCCGGCGCCCGGAAGTCGGATCGTATCGCGTATGACTATGTCGTCGTTGAGTCATATGAGTCTGGACCTCTCGCTATGCGGCAAGGAAATGTGGACCTGCCCCACCCCGGGCAGCCGCGCACCGTGCCGGCTGCCGCCTGCCGGGGCACACAGTGGAGTCGTGAGGAGATGAGAGATGAGGCCATAAGGCAACTGTGTCCACCACACTGATGGGTGAGGGGATGGAGTGTGTGGATCATTTTGAGAGTCTTCGGGCCGTTTGAAAAGGGTGTTCAAATTTACGGGAAACCTTAAATCGACTTCCTCTTCCCGGCTCCGAATGGGTCCTCCATGATCGACCGCGGAGACCCGTGGCCCTCTGGAGCGAGGCCCTCTGTGACTCGGACCGCCTTGGTCGGCGTCGTCGGCGCCGGCAACGAGCGCTCCGTAAGGGGCGTGCTGTCGCCCCGTTTCAGCCACTGGTGTCCGAGGACCGCCTTCGCTTTCGTGCGCCGGCTCGGCTTCACCGTCAGCATCGCGTCCAGCAGCTCGACCGCGAGCGGACTGGGAGGCTCGCGCAACGAGCCTGCGACGAGCAGGCTACGCCCGCGGCCCTGCCGCTGCGCCTCGTTCAGCGCGTTGACCGCATCCGCAAAGGCAGCGTCGTCGTCGCGGCTAAAGGGGAAGAAGCCAAACAGCATCAAGTAGAGGATCACGCCCATAGACCAGACGTCGGCAGTCAGGCCGTCGTAGCCGCCGCAGTTGAACCAGACCTCTGGCGCCGCGTACCCGCTGGAGCCGACGAGGTTCTGCAGAGGCGTCTCGCGGTGGTACCCGCCGCGCGAGTCGCCGCGGGGCCGGTAGGCGTGCGAGAGGCCAAAGTCGATCAGCTTGACGCCCCCGCTCTCGGTGAGGAGGATGTTTTCGAGCTTGAGGTCGAGGTGAGCGATCCCGTGGGCGTGGCAGTGCGACACGGCCGCCGCGATGCCGCCAAAGATGCGCCGCGCCTCGGCCTCTTCCAGCGGCCGCGGTCGTCCGGCGCGGGCGATCCGGTCGTAGAGCTCGCCTCCGGACACCTTCTCGAGCACGACGCAGTACGCGTCTAGAGGCACACGGGCCGGATACGACCAGGGCAGGCGCGACAGAAGCCCACCACATCCCTCGATGATAGTACGCGCATAGCCGTGCGCGTACATGGCGACAATATTGCTGTGAGGGCCAAGCCGCTTGAGGATCTCGGCCTCGTTCACGATGTTTGGCGCGCCGCGGACCATGCTGGACACGACCTTGACCGCAACCTCCACACCGCCGCCAGAAGCCGAGAACACACCGTCGCTGAAGGAGCCGGTGCCGAGCTTAGTTGAGGTAATTCGCCAGCGCCGGGCCGACGGCGGAGGTGGAGAGAAGCCGTGGTCGGAGCCGCGAGGCGACGGTGCGACGGACGGCGGAGGAAAGAGGCGGTGGCGAGAGCAGCGACGAGACGGTGCGCTGGACGGCGGTGATGCGACCATCCCGCCGAACAAGGGCTTGGCTGAAAGCGAGCGGCGTCTCAGCCTTGCTATTGACAAGAAAATACGTCGCGTGGCGCTGTGCGCAGGTCTGTGAGAGGTTGAGGTGCGAGCCCTGGAGGCCCTGGGGATGGGGGGAGACTACCCGCGGGCCTAGAAGGCCCGCGCGCAGGGGGGTGGGACATTGAGACCTGAGGGAGGGTGTAGAGGATGTAGAGTGTAGAGCGCTGTGAGAGAGATTTTTAGCAACACCAAACAACTCTAACACTCACACGTAATTTGGGGCCTGGAGCCCTGTTCACGCGCGCGCGAGACGTGCAGACAGGGTTGCCAGGTGAGAGCGAATGGCGCGGTTCACGCCTCGCACAACAGAGAGAGAGATGCGCTCTGCATGGTGGGACATAAAAGAGAGCGAGTACTTGGGCGAGTAGGCCGTGCGGTCAACGCTGCCGCGCGCGACTTTGCGCGCGAGGCGGCGCAGCTTGAGAACGGCGGTGGGCGAGAAGCCGCCGCCGAACGTCTCGTGGAGCAGCAGGTTGAAGTTGTTTGTTTGAGCGCTGTAGAGCTGTAGAGATGTAGAGCGCTGGAGAGCGCTGTAGAGCTGTAGAGCTCTACATCCGCCGCGGGACGAGGCGCCTGCGTTGTAGAGCGATGTAGAGGCGCTCTACAACGTGAAATCTCTACAACAAACTCTACATCATAAGCGGCGAACGAGCAGGGGAGGCACGGTCGCTCTCCGACATGAGGCGCGTTGCACTTGCCAGTGCGGCCCTGGCCTTCTGTCTACCCGCCCAATGGGTGGCAGGTGCCTCTGCTGCTATGGCATGCCTCACGGCTGCGACTGGCCGGCGCCTCGGCGCGTCAGCTCGGCTCGGCGTAGCGATAGCGGCCAGCGCAACTCGCCTGGACTCAACGCTCAGCCAGGAGCTCCCGCACGCGCTGGCGCGAGTCATGGCGCATGCAACGCGTCTGAATGCTCGCCTCGCCTCGCGCAAATGCGACCGTCCTCGCAGCCGACAGTCCACCGCCTGCTAAAGAAGCACAGCGACGAATGCGGCACCGGCGACACATGGCAGGCTGGTCATGACGCAGTTATAGGGTGTTGTGTGCCGTCAGAGGGACTCTCTGTGTGTCAGGGATAGTCAGGGCTGTCCATCAGAGCTTCACTAAGCTCGGAGACACCCCATTAGCGCGGCTCGACCTCTTTGAGTCACTGCCTTCCCGGCGGTTTGGCTGTAGAGCCTCTACAACAAACTCTACAACAAAATCGCGCTCTACATCGCTCTACAACGCAGGCGCCTCGTCCCGCGGCGGATGTAGAGCTCTACAGCTCTACAGCGCTCCAGAGCGCTCTACATCTCTACAGCTCTACAGCGCTCTACACTCTACATCCTCTACACCCTCCCTCAGATTGAGACCGGTCATGAATGAGTTCACAGGACGGCGTCACATGCATCGAAACAAATTTCTTATTTTCCTTTGGCTGCAGCTGCTGCGTCGGCGGCTGCTATATCCCCCGAAAGAGAGAACCCCACCAGCATAACTACCTTTTTTTCGGCTCGGCGTAGCCCAGCAAAAGCAGACGTTTTTTTCGGCTCGGCGTAACGATATCGAAGGAACCGCGTCCGCGTCCGCCGGCAATGGGCGCCAAAGCCGCCCAAGCCAACCCGGACTGGGAGGCGAAAAAGGCGCTCGAGGAGCTCCAGTGGAAGTGCCTCCTCGCCCTTCGTGCGCAGCCGCCCTGCGGCACCCGCTCATCCCCGGCCCGGCTGGCAGGTGGGGACGGCACGAGGTGCAGGGCCTCGACCCCAGCCGCGCAGAGGCCCTGGCGCTCTCGCCGACCCAGCACCAGGTCGGCTACACTATTCGCTCGGCCGAGCAGCTGCCGCCGGCGCTGGCTCACGCCGGAGCCTCGGCGCGCCTCGTCCGGCGCACCGCCGAGCTGATGCTGCGACACTCGATTGTGTACGCGAGCATTGAGGAACGGCGCGCGGCTCTGACACGCTCGCCGGCAACGACGGCCGGGGAAGGTGCCCTACCCCATCCCTCTCCGTGTTTTCAGGTGCAAGTCGACGCAGGAGTACTTTGACGAGGTGCTGCGCACCGCACGGATGCAGTATGAAGGCTACCGCGCCGCGGCCGAGGTGCTGGGCAAGATCCTCGCGCGGCCGCCGCTACTGGACGTATGGGAGAAGTCGTGCCCGGGGCTGCTCCGTGCAAAGACGCGTGAGCTGGCCCTGCAGACCGAGGGCACCGCATCGTACGATGGCGCCTTTGTGGAGAAGCTGCGGATCGAGCAAATCTACTCGGCGGTGGTCGACCTCAAGAGCCTCGAGACGGAGCGGCCGATCCGCGAGGGCGACATCCGCGCCCGCTTCGACGCCGTCTCGCGGCTCGCCGCCGTGGAGCAGGCCAAGGTGATGGCGCAGGAGAAGCTGCTCGCGGAGGAGCTCGCCGCCATCGGCGACGGCTCCGAGACGGTCGCCGAGTACGCAGGCAAGCTCGCGGAGAGCCTATCCACCAGCCAACTGCGGCTGTCGGACTGCAAGCTGCTGCAGCTGCCCCCGCTGGTCTGCTCCTTTATCCACATCGAGGTGCTCGACCTCTCTGCCAATGCGCTCGAGGCGCTGCCGCCGGAGATTTGCCAGCTGACCGCGCTCAAGAAGCTGTACGCAGTTGACAACAAGTCTCAGGGCCCTAGATGCAAGATGGGCATGCGCAACAGATACCTCCTCGCGCCTAATCACATAGCGACCGAGTGTGGGGTCGTGCCGAGGCTCAGATGCGGGGCAGTACTCACCCCTGCCTCTCCATGCAGGTTGGCGACGGTGCCCGACGAGCTGTGGAAGCTCCACCGCACCCTCATGTACTTGGCGCTTGGCGGGAACCCACTCGTCGCGGAGGTGCGCCAGCTCTATCTCGAGGGCTTGCCGGTCCTCCTGGCGCACCTCAAGCTGCGCCACCGGCGGAGGAGGCGCGAGGCGACATCGGAGCAGGGCTTCTTCCCGCGCCTCGCCTCGCACCACGGGGCAGAGGCGATCCGTGCGACCCGCTCGGCCTCCGAGCCGAACAAAGGCGCACTGCCCTTCACAAGCTACCCGCCCACCCCGCTGCCCGCGAAGCGCGGCGTCTTTACGCGCGGCGTCACGCTCGACGACACAGACCTGCCAGACTACCGCCCTCCGCGCGACCGCGCCCCAGCGCCCGGCGTGGCTCCGGTGCTCCAGACGGGGTGCGGCACGGCGGCAGAGATGGATGCCGAGGCGGAGGCGGAGGCGGAGGCCGCACAGCGTCGGCTCGAGGAGGGACTGCGGACGCGGAGCTGGTCGTACGGGCTGGCCGGGCTGCTCGAGACGTACGGCAGCACGCGCTCACGAGGCATCAGCGGGCCGTGAACTGATGTTGAGCGGTGATTCCGATTGTGTGATGGGTATTTTGTGTTTATGCTGAGGTACCGCGTTGCGTCTTGATAACAACTGCGTTGCAAAATGCGGTCTAAAACCCCCGTCCATCGACACACGCGACATGGCTCCATGGGGGTCATGACTCGAGACATGACCGGGGGGGCGGGTCCGTGGGGCGCGCGCGCGCGTTGTGCGACTCTACGTTGCGACAGGCACGCGCTCAGTACACATCACGAACCACGGGCCAAGGGGCAGTCCTACGATCGACAGAGTGTTCTGCGCCCTGCTCCTGTTGGCGGGCAGCATGGCGGGCAGCTAAATCGAGGTGAAAGCTCAACCACGATGCTTGTTTGGGCCCCTATCGACAGTGCAGCGCTTGGCCCGACCTCCGTCGTGATTCGTCTCTCCACTTGCAAACTGCCCTCGTCTACTGAGAGCGATGCTGTTGGGCTCAGACCTCTTTCGAGGGGCTGACCACGAACAGACGCCGCCGTGGGCCGTGCGTCTCTTTCCAAGAGGGGCACCTCGGCTTTGGTGGCGATGGCGGCGATGGTCCTGGTGCACTGGTCGCGGCGTTCCTTGCGGCGGTCATTGGCGTGGTCGAACGCTCCAAAGCTGGCTCCCCTCGCGGCGCGAGGACAGCGGCACGCAGACCGCCTCTGACCACGCCTCTGAGGCAGTAGTCGTCCGCGCGAAGCGACGCAAGCATCGAGCGCTGCGGCGGAGGCGTTGGCGGCAGATCTGCGCGGCGGTGGTTCTCCTTCATCGTGGGTGACTCGAACGGCCGCCGTCCGCTCACCTGATTCTCGCAGCGAACGGGGAGCAGTGATTTCTATGGCGGCGGGTCGAGGGCGGGCAGGAGAGAGATGGCGGTTCGGCCCGCCGCAGCCCGCAGGGATATGTGCGTGTTTTGTGGAACGAGTCGTCATGAACGCGGGGTCGGCCACGATCGGCGGCGGCCGGCCGAGAGTGCGCGTGGTGTGGCGGCGTAATGGGCAGGCGGCCGTAAGCGGCAGATATTCTACTCCAGGCGGCGGTACCATGGTAACAGGTGGCCGACCGTGTCCGCCGCCGCCGAAGCGCAGGGACGAAGCATTGACGTCGTCACGAACGTGCTGCACTTTGTCGAGCGGCATGACGACGCGCCTTTCGGCGCCCGTTTGCGGGCCGGACCTGCTCAACTCTTCAGCGAAACAACGGCAGCGAGCACTCACCGCACACAAGCAAGTGCCGTCGAGAGGAAAAGAATTCTTAAGATGCAAGCCTCTCTCACAGCACACTGGCACGACAAGGGCGCAGACTGGCGCGGACTGGCACACACACAGGCTCACTTTTGCGCCATAGAGGGGGCGTCCTGCAGTTAAGGGGAAACCCGGTACGCGGGGCTAACCCTCGGAGACCCGTGTTTACTTTAAGGCCCTTTCCCTGCGAACGCGCACCCCCAGGGCTAGGGCTTTCTTGCCCGCAACCCGATGCCAATCATCCGGCCCGCTGGGTACGCTTCTGAGCTCCCCGGCCCTGGATGTGCGGTTACTGACTGCACTCCAAGTGCTCCAAGCGCGTGGAGAGGGCGTCTGTCGGCGCTAAAACCGCCGTCCCAACCACCGCGGGCAGGCGCTCCACCTCGTGTTCGATCGAGGGTTCCACGTGAGCGTTCCCAGACCGCCCTGCTGGAAGTAGGCCGCAGCCTAGCGAGCGTGTAAGGTGCCTATATGGGCTTCCAGTATCGGACCTTCAAGACATGCGCTTTTGGCCGGTTGCCTCCTCGGGGACATGGTACCTCCGGTGAGATAGTGGCTGCCAGTTCGAGACTGGGGCCGATCGAACTTGAGTTGTTCGGAGGAGAATCCGGCCAGCACGGGTACAAAGAGGGGTACCCGGAGAATCCCCAGCTGCGGAAACGTAGTGTCGCTCAAGAGGTGCGATACTGCGGGGGAGTGTAAGGTGCCTATATGGGCTTCCAGTATCGGACCTTCAAGACATGCGCTTTTGGCCGGTTGCCTCCTCGGACAGAGCGGCCTCTCTTGAGCCCTTTTAAAAGTCCGGCCCCGTCGTCGGCAGAGCTAGACATCTGGCAGAGGTGATCTCTTCTCGAGCGGAGAGACGAGAGCACGCGAACAACCTCCCGTCCCCCCCCCCCCCCACCAGCAGCAGAAAAAATTCAGTCACGCCTGTGAAGTGACCCGGCTTTGAACGAAAGTGCCCGTCAAACACGCCAAAATGATAAAAACCCACGCGCGGCGCGCGTGTGTGTTCCGCCCTGATGCGCAAGGCCTATAAAGAACCCCGCCACGACCTGTGGAATACGCTCAGCTCAGCATCAGAGCGACGTCCGCATTCTTCGCCCCGTCGCCGCAGTAAAAGTAGCCGTATCGCGCGCCCTTGCTAAAGGCGAAGAACCCTGGCCAGACGAGCGAGCGCAGGATGGTGGCGCCCGTGGCCGGGTCGACTCGCGAGACGAGTCCACCCTTGGGCAGGGTGTCCTCGGCGGGCATCAGGAAGTCGGCCCGGTTCTCGCTCGCCGAACGGAGCGGGTCGAGCGGCTTTCGCCTGCCCAGCGCCACCCAGCCGCCCGCCTCGGGCGTGCCGGCGAAAGCCGGGTTGGGCACCTGCGGCGTCAAGGCGTGGCGTTCATACCGCCGCCTAAAGCCTTGAAGCTCCTCACGCATTCCAGAATAAGCCGTGGCGCCAGAGGTGTTCAAGCGGCATGAACATGTTCAAGCGGCATGAACACAGGGGTCGAGGCATCTAGTGGTGGGCACCGCGCCGCCCGAAGGGTGGAGGACGAGGGCGCCGGTGGGGGCGACCGCTGCGTCGGACTCGATTTGCTGCACCATGTACACGAGCAGGTGCTCCTCCCGCAGCTCGCCCTGTAACACGTGCGCGATGTCGCCTGCAGTTGGAGTGCGTGCGGTGTCAGACAGATGCAAGTGAGAGAGGCGCATGCGGCACCCCCTCTGGGCAGAGCTCCCGCCCCACCTTCGAGCCCGCCGGTGATGGCGGCACACGCGGCCGACTCATCATCGCTCAGCACCGGCAGCTGCGCCCACGAGACGCCGTCAGCGCAGAAGAAGAAGATCTTGTCCTCCGACCACGAGCTGCGGATGCCAGAGGCGATGAGGTAGTCGCCCGTTCGCCTGACGTGTCCGCCAGGTGGATGGGCGCGGGCAGCGCGGCGTGGGAATACTTGGAACGCGTGGCATTCTGGGAGGGCGCGAGTGCGGTGCCCCTTTTGCCGGTTCGGTTGCTGCGGCAGGCATGCAGATGTTTGGCATTGGCGTCGGTCACCCGCTCAGCTTCCCCCACGCGCGGACGGCGGAGAGCTTGTAGTTGCGTCGGAGCAGCGGCAGCGACGACTGCATCGCAGAGCGGTGGGCCAGCGAGACGCCGGCGCCGACCGTGGCAAGCAACTCTAGGTCATCCACGTCCATCCTGGCGGCTGTAACCGATCTGTAGAGCTGGGGTTTCTTCTAGCACGCGCCAGTTCGCACCTGTGTCGAGCCTGTCTGCTGTGAGAGAGAGTTGTTTTGTCTAAATTCTTCACGCGACTTCTTTCTCTTTCCGTGGTTCGAGGTAAGATGGGCTCCCTCCCACGGGGAGATGTCAGCGGGCTGGCAGGAATCAGGAATCAGGAATCAGGTGCAAAGGAAAGAGTGTTTTCTTCTGTCGTGCCAGAATTGCAGAAAGAGGTGTTTCTCGGGTCCGTTGGCCTCTTTTGTAGGGAAGAATTTTGATACCCGTCAGGACGCCTGCTGGGGGCAGCTTCGTGACGAAGCCGTTTCGACGAGGAGAGGAGAGAAGGTACTGGCGACGCGCACAGACTGGCGTCAGCTCTGCTTCTGAAGTACATCTCTGAAAGGCACCTCAGAGGTGTAGTACATACACCTCGTCGCACCGTCTCCTCCAGATCGAGACGGACTCCATGAACGGCCGAGCATTTCTTCATTACTATTATTAATTGATGCTTTTGCACAGCTGAGCCCCCCCCCCCCCCCTTCCCCCGCGCCCATTCCCTGCCCTCTCCCGCCACACACTCCGTCAGAGCCCCCTCCCCTCTTGCACAACAGGAATTTTGACAATTAACCAGATGGACTCTCAGAACGATGGGCTTGTCCATCCCGGAGTGGTTCGAGTCACACCCCATCGCCATCGGGGAGAGGGGGGGCGATACTGCTTCAGCAGCGTGCACCTCGATCCTGTACCGTGTTTGTTATGACCCCCCCCCAATGAACACACCAGTGAGGGAGGGCGAGACGATCGAGGGGTCCCGTACCATGCGGAATCGACCCTATCCAGTGCTCAAGTGCTCAAGATCGTCGCCAGACTTCTTTCTCTTTGTCAGGCCATGTGCCGCTCGCTCGCCCGCCCAAGTGACTTGGACGCGCGGTCGAGGGCACCCCACCGTTCTTGGGGCGCGCTGGCGCTCACCAGCGATCGTCCCCCCACCCATCCACCCTTTTTTCTTTGAGGCTGTCGCTCGGTCGCTCCGAGAACTTAAGCTCGTCTCGCAGCTGCGAGAAAAGCGCGGTATCGTATAAACTTCTTTTATTAGTTTTACGGTTTTTGCATTGGGGCGGCCTGGACCTGGTGCCAACGCCGTGCCGAGAGACGTAGGTGTGTATTCTGTATGGCCAGCCACCCCAGTTCGCCACCTTGCGCCGTTTTCCCGACGAGCTGGCTCCACCCCAGAACAAACCGGAGGTGTCAGCCGAAGCTTTTCTCTCGGTCTCGCGGGCATCTTGCAGAGAGTCTCCAGGCCCCTCGCCAGCATGTTCTGGTCCCTGCCCCTCGCCGGCGTGCCTCGCGCGCGCTCACTTCTCGCTCCCCTTGACCAGCCGCTTTCGCACCGAGGCCGGCTTGGGCGTCTGCAGGTCGTCGGCGATGAAGAGGTCCTCGTCCTCCGCCACCGCGGGAGCCGCGCCATCAGCCGCCGCGTCCGGAATGAACGCGTGCTGCGGCGAGCCGCTGCCGTCGCGCTTCACGCTGGCCTGCACTTCGCTGCACTTGACCAGGCGACGCCGCCGAGGAGTTTCCTTCACCGCGTGAGCGTGCGGCTGCGCGGCGGGCGGGACCAAGGAGGTGTCTCAGGGCGGGCGGGTGGGAGGGATGGGGCGGGGGCGAGGCGAGGCAGGGCGGGGCGGTAGGAGAGGGATGGGGTCTAGGGGGGGGACTGGGGGACACACCTCAGCCAAATCGAGCTCCTCGGCCGACCGTTGCGGCGGCGCAATGGGCTCGAGGGGCTTGGCGCCCGCGGCGTGGGGCGGCTCGGGCGGGGGCGGGTCCGTCTCGCCGTCGCTCGCCTCTCCCTTGCCGGGGCTCCCCTTGCCGACCCCTTGCTCCGCCGAGGGGTAGAGAGAGTAGGCCAAGCGGGGCGAGCGGGCGCGTCCTCCCCGGCTGTTGCTCTCCTCGGTCTCGCTGCTGCTGCCGCTGCTGCTGGCCTCCTCGCCGTCGGACAAGTCGCTGCTGTGGAAGCTGCCGCTGTCGCTCGTCTCCTGCAGAGCGCAAACATCTCTCAGTCCATGTCAGGAGGGCTGGTGCGCGCGCGCGCTCTCTCTCTCACGCACCTCCTCCTCATCTGACTTGGCGATGAAGCCGCCCAAGTCGCTATCGCTGCCGCTGTCGTCGCTCCGGTCGGCACCCTTGACCAACCGGCGTGCCCGCTTCGGTGGCGCGCGCTTTGGCGGCGCCTGCGGCTTCGCCGTCGCCGGCGGCTGGTCAACCACCTCGCTCCACCCTCGCCCCGCAGCAGCGGCAGCAGCGGCGGCAGCAGCAGCAGCAGCAGGGGAGCCCGCTCCGGCGTCGGCTGCGGCGGCTGTGGGAGGGTCGAAGATGACGGTCGGGGGCGGCTCGAGTGACGGGGAGGCGGCGGAGCCGTGCGATGCGATGGAGCTGTGCGCCGTGTCGTCGTGCGGTCCGCCGCCAGACTCGCGCGCCTGGCGTTGCGGCGCGTTCTCCTTCTCCTCCCTCTGCGTGTTGGCCGTGCCCTCATCAGAGGCGGGCGCTGGCGGCTTGGGTGGCGGCTTTGCCAGCGGCTTTGGCTTGCGCGGCTTGGGCGGCGGCTTTGCCCCGCCGCCGCGCCCTTTCGGGGGTGCGGCGATGGCCTGCTCCGCCTCCTCCGGCGGCGGCGCGGGCGGCTCGTCCTCGCTCTCGGAGAGGGTCTGCTGCTCGCCGAGAGAGAGGCCGCCCATCGCCGCAGCGAGAGGGCAGCCGGTCTCCTATTCACGACCTCTGCCCGTGAAGAGGCGTGTGCGGCTGCCGCCGCAAGCAAGTGAAGCCGCGTCCGCCTCGCCCGCCTCGCCCGGCTCGCCCGGCTCGCCCGGCGCCTCCTCCTCCTCGGGCGGCGCCTCCTCGACCCACATGCCCGCGTCCACCGCGCGCCCCTTGAGATCGAGCAGCTCCGGCCCGTAGCTGCGCGAGGGACGGGTAAGGGGCGTAGCCGTGAGGGACGGCCGTGCGGGACAGCCGTGAGGGAGTGCGGAGAAGGCGGAGTGAGCGAGGGGCGGCGGCGGCGGCGCCAGCAGCTGCGGCGCAGTGGGTGTGTACTAGGCAAGCGTGAGCAGAGTCTCGGAGACGCGTCGACGGGAGGGCGTCGGAGGCTTCTCAAAAGTGTCTCGCCTGCCGAGGTTGGAGCGCAGCCGCTCGACGAGCGCCTCGTCCGCGGTGGCGCCGTCCTTGAGGCTCGCGACGTACAGCCTCACCTCGACGGTCCGCTCGGAGGGCGGCAGCGACGCGTGGCCCATGAAGCGCACTGCCCGCCCCACCCGCTGCATCAGGTCCTCGGTGCTCAGCGGCACGTCCGCTAGCAGCAGCCGCCGCACGCCGAAGAAGCTCACGCCCTCGCCGCACTCCTTGGCGTCCGCCACCATCACACGCACCCCGCCCGCGGCCAGCACGCCGCCCTCGCCGCCGCCCTCGCCGCCGCCCTCGCCGCCCTCGCTGCCGCCCTCGCCGCCCTCGCCGCCGTCCACGCCGCCCTCGCCGCCGGTGCCGCCACACTCGCCGCAAAGCACGCCGGCAGCGCCCTCCGCCTCCACCTTCGCCTCTGCGCGGCCCGACGACCGGTTGAACTCGCAGAGGGCGCAGTTGCAGCTGCCGCGGCCAGCAAGCTCGTCGTGGCCGACGCCGAGCAGCGGCGCCAGCTGCGCGTCCGCCTTCTCCGCGCGCGTCCTCGCCGGCGGGTACCCTGGCAGAGGGAGGGGAGGGGGCGAGGGCCATGAGGAGCGGGTTTGTTCCACAGGCGCCTGCAGCCTCAACGTGGCCGCGCTAACGCATGCGGTGTCTAGGGCGGGCCGCCTCGCACGGCGCCGGCGCCGAGCCTCCGCGCGAGCATGCGCAGGAGCAGCTTGTAGCCGCCGTTGCGGTGGACGATGACGAGGGTCTTGCGCGGCGGCTGTGCGGTCGCCACGTCCTCGCAGATCTGCAGCAGCTTGCTCGCGTAGCCGCGCGCGCGGCGCAGCTGGGCCGCTGAGCCGTAGGGCTGCAGCAGCAGCAGGGGGGGGGGGGGGGGGGGGGTCCAAAAGCCAAGAAAGGAAGGTTTTTTTTGGGGGGGAAAAGGAGGCCCCTCCGGGGGAATGTCCTTTTTGAGAAGCCTCCCCGCCCCTCCATGGACCACCTGGCCCACGTCCTCGGGGCCGGGGTACCCGGCCGTTTGCCCAACCGAAAAAAAGCGTGAAATGACCCACACCTTGATCGGGTCCGAGGGAAGGCACCGTCTGGAGGGCCGCCTTTTTCCGCGCCACCCCTTTTTTTCCCCTTGGGCTCCTCGGCGCTCGGAGGCCCTCTTGGGGGAACCTCGGGGTTTACACTTGGGTCCCGAACCCCTCCCCGGTTCCCCCCCGGG